GAGAGATTTTTTCCCCTGATACATTAAATTGTAATGATTAGAGTGATTTAGAATGATTTCTGAATGATCATGTGACACTTAAGACTGGAGCTTTGCCATCACAGAAATAAATTACATTTTTTAAAAATATGTTCAAAAAGAAAACAGTTATTTTAAATTGTAATAACATTTCATATAATTACTGTTTTTACTGTATATCTGATCAAATAAATGCAGCCTTGGTGAGCATAAGAGACTTAAAAACATTGTATCTAGAGAGAGATTTTTTCCCCTGATACATTAAATTGTAATGATTAGAGTGATTTAGAATGATTTCTGAATGATCATGTGACACTTAAGACTGGAGCTTTGCCATCACAGAAATAAATTACATTTTTAAAAAATATGTTCAAAAAGAAAACAGTTATTTTAAATTGTAATAACATTTCATATAATGACTGTTTTTACTGTATATCTGATCAAATAAATGCAGCCTTGGTGAGCATAAGAGACTTAAAAACATTTTTAAAACATCCTACTAACCCCAAACTTGCACATTTATATACACTTGAACAAGAAATAGCCTGACAGTTTGTGAAGCAGTACTATTACAGGTATGATTGGGTATGTGTGTGCCTTTACTTAACCATAAACCAGTCTGTGAAGAAGAGAGAGAGTAAAACAGAGAAAGAGAGAGACAGGGGAAACCTGCAGCTCTTCCACTGCAGGCTTGGGGAAACCCCATGTGAGCGGCTGCTGCATTGTGCTCTCTGAAGAAAAAGCTGCTGTTTTTCACAACACATGACTCTTGTGCGTGATATTCAGATGTTTGCTGAGTTGCAGATGGAAACTGTGACAAAGCATCCATAACGGAACACAGGATGTTTTCTTGGGAAAAGGGTTCTTAAGAACTAATAAATAACACACACACAAAAAAAGACAGTGGCATTTGAGTGCAATTTTTTCCCCCCCACTATTTGACTACAATATTAAAAGTGGCATTTATTTATAATAAATATAGTGCAGATATTTTAACCAAAATGTCATGTTTCAAATTACAAACCAACATTATATGTATAGTTCAACATCTGCACAAAAAGTATTTGCATACTTTCTGGTTGTCAAATGTTAGTGGAACATGTCCATAAGTTGATGTGATGAACTATACCCGTGGCTGCTCTGCTAGGACACCTGTGCAAACTTAAGGGAACTGACTTCATATGAACACTAAAAATCCCCCTTCATGACTAGTTAGTTGTAAAAATAACTGCAAATATATAAAGAAATGCTTAAAAAAAACCTGAAGTTTGTTCGTCGATGATGTCTAGCATAATGTCTTTTGCAGATGCCAATTTATTTTGATATTTTGTATCTAAAGTAAAGTCATTAGGCCATTTTAAATCTAACTTAAGCATCAGGAAGGGACCAAATATGCTTTGGGGTCACTGTAAACTCTATTTGTGTGGTTTAAACTTTTAATCAAGCACATGTGCGCGCACACACACACACACACACA